ATGGTTTTCGCGCCAGGAGGGAAAGGGGGAGTGGGTAAGGGGAGGAGAGAAGCGCACAGGAGGGAGGGAGGGGGGTTGCATCAGATAGGACTTCTTCTAGTACGACAACCCCCACCCCGCCGCGCCACCTCTACGGTTTTGGCCCGGCTGGCTCCGTACACGCGCGCGAGCGTTGCTTCACTCACGCGCGCTCGCGCGCTCTCACTCCAAACCCAAACTTCGGGCGAGCGCGCGCGAAGGGGTTAATGCCATACACCAGCACCACCGCGACGACGACGGGAGCGCGCCCAAAGGCGACGAGGGAGAGTTGGCCAACCAGGAGAAAAATTGGGGGAGCAGCGTGGGGTGGTGGTGGCGATAGAGGCCGTGAGTGGCTGGGAACATAGACGGGCGACCGGCTGACGCTGGCAAGAGCGGCGTTTTCGCCACGTGGACCCCGGCAGCGAGGGCCTGGCCACCCTAGACTAGGGGCCCCGCCGATGGCACCGCCGCCGTCCGTCGACAGTCGGGGCCGGCCAGGCTGGGCCCGGGGCTCCACACGGTTGCCTGCTTGTGCGGGCCGCCGCGCGCCAGGCCCGGCCAGCTTGGCGCGCTCCGACTGCTGCTCTGCTGCCCTGGCCTGGCCGGCTGCGGGATGGGGAGGAGGAGGAGGAGGCAGCAGCGTTGGCCGACGAGTGCTTTGTTTGGGGGAGGGGGAGGAGAGGGGTGGAGAGGGGTGGAGATGTGAGCGGTGGGGAGGGAGCGGGGAGAGGGGAAGGGCAACAGGAGTACGAGTGCAACGGCGAAAACACGTGATCAAGAGAGGTTATGGGCCTGCCTAGTGGCCTGCCGCAGCTTGTGTGCTGCTGCGGGCGCGGCTCGCTACGGCCCGGCCGCCTGCTGCCTCGTCCTTCTCTTCCTCCTCCTCCTCCTCCGCCGGGAGGAGTGCAGGAGGGCACTGCAGGGTGTTGTTCCATCCACTGGCCACTGAATCTCCCAGCGGAAGCAGCGACGACGAAGGGTGCAGTCTGACTCCCGTATACTTTATACTACGCAAGAGAAACGGACGGCCGTCCATCGCGACTTCTAATCCTGCACGCCGAGACACGACGGGCAGTCACGACGTGGTACACCAATCGATCGCACCACACCATCCGCCCTCGCAAGAACGCCTCACTCCCACCGCCCTGCGATGGAGCACCCTATACAACACATGGCGGGTCGGTCGGGCGGGGTGTTTGGCTTCTCGACTCTCGACGGCCTTTATCTGGCTCTCTGGCCGGGCAGTCTCCGGGCGGCGTAGGGGGAGGAGGGGGCCCAAATGGCATCAGCCCCATACGCTACGCTGCTCCCCCGACGCCGGGCCTGGTGGTGCAGCAGCGCCGCAGCCGCGCAGCCCCGCGCCACGCGCGCCGCACTGCTCCGCCTGCACCCGCCACACCGGTTCCGCTCGACTCGCTTGGCGGGAAGCGTGCCCCCGTCAGCAGAGGGAGGAGGTCTAAACTTATCCGGCAAACACCACCACCACCACCACCACCACGCACCACCACCTTTCCCTTTTCGCATGCACTCGCGGAATACATATACGCCCGTCCGGCTGGCAGCAGCCGGGCGCACGCGGCAGCCACGCACTGGCCAACCTTGATCCGAGAAGCAGCAGGGTTGCGCTGCACGAGCGCGGCTTAGAGTGAGTCAATGGGAGGCCCCAGCAGCCACTCTGGCCGATAAGACAAGTGCGTGAGCTGAAAAGCAGGTGACTGCAATGGCAAAAATAGCCGGAGAAGAATGAGGCGACGGCCTGATGAAGGAAAAGGGATCAACTTGCGGACCTTACCCCCCCCCCCAATTCCCCCTAAACCCGCGTCGCCCCTCCGGGTCGGGTCCGCCTATTGTATTGTCGTGAGCCCTCTTCGACTCCACACCCCTCGGCTCCGCACCGCACCTTACAGAAGGAAGGACGGAGAGTCAGGCCAGGCAGACGGGCGACGACCTTGTCTTTTTGCACCCCGACCCACCCCACCCTAAGGCGCACCCGTATGGATGCGTGTGTGCGTGCACCTGCCCGGCCCGCCGCGACAGGTTCGGCGAGGGTAGAACAAGGGAGCGCTGAGGAGAGAAAAGAGCGACCCCTAAGGAGGCCAGACCAACGGCGGGCCTCGCGACGTGCCGCTCGCGATCTCCACGCGGCGCCTTCTTTCGCTTCGCCATTTCGTGGGCACATCATGGATTCCCGAAATCCCTGTTATTTAGCGGTCGCCAAGGCGCAAGCGGGGGCGTCGCCCGGCGCCGGCCAGAACGAGAAGGGGAGGGAGAGAGGACACGCCAACCGTAACCAAACAAAGACCGCCCACATCTACATGCGCGGGTCCCGTTGGGCGCGCGGCGCGGTGGGGCGCGGCGTACCTCCGGGAGGGAGCCCCAGGAGGCGCCCGGCCCGGGGGGCCGACGTCCCCCGGCGGGTGCAGCGCCACCCCGCTGCCCCACTGACCAGCAGGGCGGGGGTGGTGGTCACCCTAGGGCGGCGGCCAGGACGTCCGCGAGGCCACCGCCGCGGCAGCCGGGGGCGTCCCCGTCACAGAGCTGGGGGGTGGCCGCGACCACGCCCTGGGGGCCACGCCCCGCCGGCCACGTCCCCGGGCCTCATGCCCTCGCGACACGCAAGGGGCGGTCCGCGGCACGATCCCCCCCTACTAGCGGCGCCACGTCGCCCTGCGCCAGGCGGGCCAGCGGGGGGGCATTACCGTAGGTAGCGTGGCGTCCCGTTGTTCAACCTCTCCGACTCCCCTCCCCCCCCTCAGGTTGTTTACCGAGCACTGGGCCCCGCCTGCCTGCTAGCATGGCCCCCCTGGGCCCCCTGGCCTGTTTAGTGACACTGGGCCGGGGATGCTGCCGGGCCACTCTCTCCCTCTCTCCCTCCTCCACGCGGACTCGGCGGCACCACGGCACTGTCGTCGTACACTACATACTCCTCTTCTTCCACTCCGACACGACCCAACACCTCGGCAGCGGCCCCCGCGCCGCAACGCTTGGCTGATACTCCACACCACACACGGCATTACAGACAATAAAAGCAAGATTACACCTCACCTCGCCGCAGCTATTCCCCCTCCCGCTCCCCCCCCCCTCGAGCGCGCCCGCGGGCCCACGGTCCGGCCGTCCCGTTTCCCATATAGCAGAGCGGAGCGAAAGGTAAATATGCATATGCCGCCCACACTCGCGCTACCCTACAATAAATGGGATACGAGGGAGTGTAGAGGGTGGGGACAATGGAAAAAAAGTCGAAACAAAAAATGAATACGGCAAACAATTTAACCTCCTACTATGCGTACTGGCGGGTCGTTGTCGCGCGTACTGCTACTTTGTTTGCCGTGGAACCAGTGCCCAGATGGACGAGAGTCGGTCCAGTGAGTGCCGCGGGGGGCCAGCTCCAGGAGGGAGGCGGCTCTGCGCTGCGCTCGCGGCTCGTCCACGTCCCCCCGTCTACAGTCGCAGCAGCCTAGGCGTGGCGGAGTGGCCATCCATCGTCAGTCAAGTTCAAGGGCACTGCTGCGGTCCGCGCTGACACGCCGCCGCCGCCGCCGCCGCCGCCGCCGGGGGGCCCACCACGAGCTAAAGGCTTTGGCGAGGCGGTGGAGGCTCATCCTAGAGCCCCTCCATCCCGGGCGGGGCCGGGCGAGCAGGTGTACGATAGCGCCGTGTGCCGCGCCATGGCCGGAGCCCGGCCGCGCCGCGCCACGCCCGCGGCGCGCTACATAGTCATTTCAGCTCGGCGAGCGAGGCACGCCGCGCCGCCGGCCGGGGCTCGATTTGATAGTGCCCCGTCAATTTTTTCGCCTGCGTGCCTTCACGCGCGCACGCAGGGCCGGTCGGCCGGCCGCCTCCGCTGGCCGGAGCGCGGGGAGCAGATCAAAAGTACGTACCGAAGATCTATAACGAGAGAGAGAGAGAGGGTGCTGGAACCTCCCTTGCTCCCTCCCTCCCACCCTACCCCTGGCGAGCGCCAGGTGCGCGCCGCAGAGGGTGAGGCGGTCGGTCACCGCGGCCGGAGCGCCGGCCCCGCCAGCGCACGCAACACGTACGCGGGGCCCGGCCAGGGCCCGGGCCGGCACACGGCACCACGGCACAGAGCTATCACATGATGGAATCTATGACCCCAACCACCGCGCACCGGCCGTGCCGCCGGTGTAGAGCCGGCCGGCCGTCCATGCATAATGAGCGCGGCCGCGACACACTCGGCTGGGCCGGAGCACAGCACCGCGGAGCACAGCGGAGCAGCGCGGGGCTGCCTACGGTCCACGTCCACGGTGGCGGCCTGCTGGCGGCCTGGTGGTGGCGCACTTTGGAGTCGCCGTTATTATTGGCCGCCTCGGTCGCCCTCTCTCTCTCTCTCTGTATACACCCACCGCTGCTGCTTATGCGACTCACCCGTCTCTGACACGCCCGCCGCCGCTGCCGCCACGCCCCGCTCGATAAAGGTCATGACGAATGCGTGTGTGTCACCCCTGCAGGTCTTATCAGGCCTAATTACGAACGCTGCGTGAACTCTGTCGCCGCACAGCACTCTGACTGTATATAGTATATACGCGGCGCGTTCGTTACTTTGCCTTCCGCGCTCTCTTTTCTTTATATTCCCGTCCCTCTTTTTCTCTTTCTTTCACCCGTTCGCCGTGTTGCCGTGTTTGAGAGGGCGAAGAGGTCGGAGCTCGACTCTCGCCCGGTGTACAGGTGCAGCGGCGGCGGCGGCTCGGAGCGGCTCCAGCAGCGGCCGGAGTGGCGGCGGGGTGTTCCCTCCTCGCCACTCCAGCGAACGCACCAGAACCGCCGCGGCGGCCAGAGCCGAGCATCGCCGCAGGTGCCACAAGATGGGCCTAGAGGAGCTCTGTGTAGATTGAATTGCTTCCAACGGCGCCTCCCGCCTGCTGCTGTACTCCTCTCTCCCATCATCCATCGTCTCTATCTCTCTCTTTCTTTCCTCCTCTCCCCGCCGCGCGCGCGCGCTCTCCTCCGCTTTCTCCACTCACCTGTTTTTCTCCAGCTCGTTGTGGGTCGTTCTGTAAAAATGCAGAGAGAGGCGGCCTTTAGTGCGTCTGATGCATGGGGGTTATGGAAGCAAAGGGTAAGGTCACCGAGGGCCGAAGCTCCTCCACTCACCTGTCGCCCGGCGAGAGGGAGCGCCGGAAGCTGCCGCTGTCCAGGAGGTCACTGTCGCGGTGGTGGCTCCGCCGGTGGTGGTGGTGGTCCCGCTCGCCCCGTTCTCCTCGCTCGCCCCGTTCTCCCCGCTCGCCGCTTCTACTGCTGCCGCTGCTACTGCTCGCCGTGCTAATGCCACTGCTGCTACTTATGCTGTGGTGCTTCTCCCTGTATCCCTGACTGCAACACGCGAAAACGAAAACACACCAGGCGTCAGGTAATGGCATGTATGTAGGCAAACCTACCGACACACGGGGCCATCGCCCCGCAACACAGGGTTCGAACAAACAGAAACCCCTCCCCCCCCCCACAAGGTCAACAGAGGTCAGAGTGGACCAGTGTCA